TTGCATAATACATAGCGCAATAAACGAGCCCATACTTACCACACTCTACTTAATTCCACAAGTATATGTATGTAGGCTTTCCCCCCAGTGGGTCTCCCTCCCAAGAAAGAGGTACCCAAGCAGTAACCAACCAAAACCATGCATTCGAGTAAATAATCTTCAGCTTTAGATAAAGATATGTACCTATTTTAAGATCTTCATTCCAATGAACTCCACAACTCACGTCAAGGACACAAACTATCCTGACAACTGTTAAGTTAAGTTGGTGATACCGTGAATAAAAAAATGCATTGAACTTTCCCCCAAGGAGAGAAAGTATGTATCCATGTCTGTCCGTCCGTCTGTTTCACGGAGTTAGTAGTTCAAATCCAAACCACTTTCACCCAGTTCTGGCCGCCCAGATTTATTCTTTCTTTCTCGCCCATCGCTTTCCCTTCTGTCCTTTGTTAGCCTTTGTCATCAGCATAAAACGCTACATTACATTATACCTTAATGGTAGACAGTGACCGCGGAAGCCGTGGGGACATCTGGGGACATTAGCATTGTGAGATAGGGGAGGGAGGGGTTTATATAACATGGGGAGATGATGCGGACATCGAACAACCGTGGGGACATTGTCCACACCCTTCCGCGGCCACTGTTGGCGGACATATATGTGCATGGTGGATTACTTTGGCCTGGTCTGGTTCGATATTTTATTGCTTCTTCTTTGTCTTTTTCCCACCGGGAATAATTTCCAGCCAGGAAGACATGGAACTGTTACGTTACATGGACGCGTGTGCTTGCTGCTTGTGTAATGCAATCTGTAAGTATTCGAATTAATTAAACAGACTCCATTTACATGCATTTAATCGGATCAAATGAGAAAGAAGAAGTCCATAAACTTGAACGTATACAGCTTTAATAAGTTTTGTGAAGATAATCTCTGCCCTCATTTGGTAAAAATAGCGTGTCTGGCGTATTTTTTGAAGAAAAATGTGGACTCAAGGGAATGTATGTAGTTATGTAATCGTTTTACAGAAATATGTATGCATTTTTGGACTCATCCATTACCATGTTACGTAAGAGGTTATTTTTAATAACCTCTGTCATAATTATGGCACAAAATTATGTAAAACCAGTGACTATTTTTAACGATGCATATTTGCATATTTACATGGATGGATTTTGAGAAATTACCAAGAAATCACAATTAATATGAACATTAGGACTTTCACCTAAATAGAAAAATAACTGGCTTTCTCTTACTTACTCTCTCTCCCGAATTATTTGTTTATTTGTCCCAGTCACACAAGGAAGAGAACGTTTTGTGATGATTATTTCCCAGAGAGAAAGATAGCGTGGATTTAGATGGGAGGGACTCGTGACCCAGTTATATCTCTTTGATCCCCAGCAGTATTTAGTACACGTTCAGCATTGTACACATATTGTCAAGAGATGTGATCCACATTATATCCTCACACGCATAGTGAGTGTCGTCCCGTTTTTACTTTAGTGTGATGAAAACAAAGGAAAATCTTCATGTTTAATGAACAATGGAGTTCTCCCAACGTATGCTTACGGATTTTTGACAAAATTGGTGTCAACCTATCGCAAATTTCATTAGTGTGAAATTTGCAAAAGAAACCATGCTCCCAATGGTAACGTTTGGCAGAAATATTTGCATCCGAAGAGGAGAAAACGAACAGTAAACTTTTGAAAGTGTATAATTTGTCAACTTTAAGGCACGTTTTCTCCTCTTTGGATGCAAATATCTGCGCTAAACCTTACCATTGACAGATCGTGGCTTTTGCAAATTTCATACTAACAAATTGTAAAAATTGTAAGTAAATTTGTGACCGATTGACACTAATTTAGTCAAAATCAGAGAGCATACACTGGGAGACCTCCATTCTCAGCACGTACGCTATACTCCTACGAAAGATTATGTCGTTCTCATTTCACTATTTACATACATGGAATCATCACTCCGAGATGAAGATGAGTTTTAGGAAGAAGAAGACAAAGGTGGCGATGGACTAGGAAATAAGTAATTGGATTTTCCTCGGAAGAACGACTTTTCCAGAGAAGAAGATATGTACATACGATACTCGTACTTCTGAGAAAATTAATTTGTCCTGGTAGCCGAGTCAGTGCTATAAATGTCGTGATGTCGTTGTGCTACGAGTTGAATGTACAAGTGCAAGATCGCATCACAAATCATCTCCTATGAACAAGACCGCCTTGTATGTAGAATAATTCAAATCAGGAAAACTTGCCTGCTTCAGTTTTCCCAGAATAATACAGGGCGTCACTTATTAAATGACGCAGAGTTTGATTTCGCTTAAAATCCGTGCCTCTGGATCGAATCATTCAATTATTTACGCAATATTGCATTCCAGTCCGAGTAAAATCATCTCCTCCCAAAAGACACCACAAAAATTTGTGCAGCTTATCTCGGTTCGTTGAACTAAACCAAAATCCTTGCCCGCACCGTAGGGTCAGATATTATAATGTAATATATAACGTGTATATTTCTGGGTGTGGGTGGGGGGCAGGACGACCACTTATCTCAATCCACTCCACGAACAGACAAAGAATTTATTTCCGAGTTTCTCGTTGGAAGAATTGGGTCAGGAGGCGAATTACAAGATGGGATGGGTGGGTGGGATCTGGGAGTTGCTTGATTATTAGTTGTGAGTAATGGTTCCCTATGGCTGGTGGTCACAGTGCAGTTTGAGATAATGCGTATTTACAGGGTATGAAATATCGTTAAGTTGTTGATGATGAGCTATTTTTGCTGGAGGAGCTTTAATAAAAATAGGAAGTTAACTTTCTAGAATTTTCAGAATAGAATAGAATTTCTGAGAAAAAATAGAATTTTACGTATTCTTATAAATCCGTCCTCCTCCGCAGATCTTTTGTTTTCTGGAGAAGATTACAAAATTCCATCTTTATTAACCTGCTTCTCGTTAAATGTCACCTTTCAAAGGACAAACTGACACAGAATGATGAACATGATGTACCCGTAACTTACATATTGATGTCTTATCGTACAGACTAAAATTAGTATTCCCAGCGTGAAATGTGCTACATTGTATTGAAATCGGAGTGCAAAATTGAAGAAGTCAGAGCACTGTGAAATTAGTAAAGTGTATGCAAAACCAGGCCACTTCAGAAAATTGCATCCAGCTCACCCTGACCTAATCTACTTTCTCCAACGTTATGCAAGACAACGAGACAAGACAAAAAATGTGACATGTTAGAGTCACGTAGCACGTTAATGGAAGCAAATTTGCCTATTTTTAAATTAGTTTAGTGGGAACATATTATCCAAAAAAGCAAGTATTTTCTGTATCTCACATTTTTTGCACTACTTTGGCAAAAACAATCCCTAACTATCCAAAATAGTGCTTATCTGCATCCCACATTTTTTGCACTACTTTCGCAAGAACAATCCCCCATAGACGACTACTAACCTCTTAAATGCCTTAAGGCTTTCAATTTAATGTAAATATGTATCTAGGTACAACTTTTTTATTACAATTTTGCTCAATTTCACCAAAAAACATGGGGAAAGTTGGGACAAAAAGAAGAAGATTTTGTCACATATCTCATCATGTCATTTCAATTACTTTCACCACCATGCAAAACGCGCTGTACATCCTTCCTCTAGTGGAAAGAGTGAAAGTACCCACAATCCCACGAGTTCAAAGAACAATCTTCTCAAAAAATAAATCATAAAACTGAAGAGTAAAACCATTCCCCTCAAAAATTCACTTTTTCCAACCAACCCAAGAACAAATACACTGCCTGCAGTGGCCGCGGAAGCGTGACAATGTCCCCACGGTTGTTCGATGTCCACATCATCTCCCCATGTTATATAAACCCCTCCCTCCCGTATCCTACAATGTTAACGTCCCCACGGCTTCCGCGGCCACTGCCTGACTGATATTACACGAGGGAGATGAAACAAGACTTGCTAGTTAGTCAAGCGAATTTTCTCCAGGTTACTTCTTACTTACACATGTGAAGAAAGCATAGCGTGATTAATACGTATTGTGCACATACTCAAGCAGCCTAGCAAAAAAAGGCTTATTACTCGTCTCGCTAGAATAAATCATCCTCCAACCGACTGTTGAAGTCAATCTGCGTGACTTTCGTGTTTTATTTCATGTGGTGACTACTTTTCAATTTGACTTTGATTCTAATACCATTGTGCAACCAAAAAGACCTGTGACAAAGAGAGATGTGTGTTTCTTTGTGAGTTGGCCATGCATGGAGGGAGAGAAAGTCGTTGAACTTTAAGGTCACCTTGGACAGGTCATCGCATTTTGGGAGATAAACATGTTTTTCGTGGTGAAAGTGTGTTGAAATGGTGGTGAGGTGAAAAATAATCAAAAATTTCGAAATTGATGTGGTGAAAATAAATATGCAAAATTTCATAAAGGTCTGAATTGCAAATAATAATTTGATGTATGCGAAAAAAGACAACAAAAATCGACGTTTTTATTAAAATCATATTTATTTTTCTTACGATTAGACACATACAAAAACTCATTAACATTTATTTAATAAATATTTATATTTAGCACTTTTCTTAGATTTAAGAGTCTCATAAATACTGTGACGATTCCATTACCTATTTGTTTGCTACACTCTACTGAAATACTGACTAGTAGACCGATGAATTGAATCGTATTACAAGGATTCAATCACAATTTATACTATTATTATTATTCAATTGTTGTCCAATAAAAGAACTTTTGGACGAAATTGATACATAGTAATTTTACAAAACAAGATATTTTTTCCGGCTTTCCATCATTTATCTTATCAGTCGATTAACTTATCTTAACCAAAATAAGCAATACTTTATCTCACACTTTCAGGTCGCAGTTACATATTTACGTATTTACAACGAGCCAGCTATATTTCACTTTATAAGTATTTTATGTAATTACGTATTTACAAGACCCAAAAGAATGCTTAAGATTTGAGTGTGAGTTGACCCAACTTACATATTTACAAGTAATAATCACATATATAATGACGTATATTTCACTATTTTATACTTAAATTAACACTTCTTAAATATGTAATTCAGGTATCTTTTACAGGTAAGTTTACACATAATTTGTTTGTTGGATTTGAATTACAGGTAAGAAATCACTTCATTTTTTTTGGATTTTCCAACTCAAGTCTTAAATTTCTACATATGTCTATCACTGAACAACGATCAATCAGGTCTAACATTTATAGATCCTGAATTATTTCTAGAACATGGTCAAAAATATGCTAATTACTATTACATGTATGTATAACAATATTTGTGTGTGCATACAATTAATTCATACAAAACTAACTACCTTAACATTTAGATATTTAAATAGTATTAAAAATCGAGCCTTTATTCAACTGAGAAACGAACAAAGTATGTAATGTGCGATTATGATGATGATGACGAGTGAGATCCATAAGTAAATATGTAAATACATTAATATGCAAATACATTAATATGTAAATGACGATAACTAATTAATTCATAGGGAGCAAATCGGTGGCGAATTTTGCCTCTTTTTCATGGAATGAAACACCACCAGTTTACTCTTCAGATGGCAAATACTCGCGGAAAGTGACTCTCCCGACCCTTTCCTCTCATGCTTTCCCTTCTGCACGGCCGGACTGCTTTCTCTGCTGCCGTGCGGCGTATTTGGAGCTGACGGCTCCGTGACGACATTCGTATCCGCAATGGATGCCGGCGCGATCGGGACGGGGCTCGAGTTTGACGCCGGGCTTCGCCCATGTCGCAAACTTGCGATCATCTTGCTCACGGAAAACTTTCTCTTTGGTGGCGGAACGTTGGTGGCAATCAGACCGGTAATGATGGAATGGAAACTTTGGTAAACTTCGGGCGTGTTTTCAGCGACAGAAACCTCGTAAAATTGACACCCGTACTTTTCCGCGGCCTGGAGCCCTTCAAGCTGATCAACCTTTCGGAGGTGGACGAGGTCGCATTTGTTGCCAATGAGGGTGACGTGAACGGGGGGCTTACCGGAGGATGAGGAACAGGCCGAAGATAAGGAGGAGGAGGAAGATGAGTGGCCCGTGTTATCGGGAGCTTTGTAAATAGTGTGAATTTTATTGATGTCCTTGAGAGCCTGGATCGCCGTGTCGAATGAGCTCCTGTCCGTGATGGAGTAGACGATCATGAACCCATCGGCCCGATTAAGCTCTTCGATTGGGATGTTTTTACGCTCCGTGCAGCCAAGTTCTTCCTTGAAGGAGGTGGAAATGTCGACGATTTCGATGTCCAGGGAGCTTCCGTGGCTGATTGCGAGGGTTTGACGGTAGAGCAGATCTGTGCAGGGGGAAAGAAAGAGATAATTAGTTATCATTGTGGTTATCAGGTGGAATTAAGTAGAAATTTGCATACTAAAACTAAATTTGAGCATGTTATACGCCAGTAGAAATAAACTTATGAATTGAGCATTAGGTTAATAATTCTAGATACCTAAGTCCGAATGACACTCTCACAACTTGAGGCAAGTTGAGACTAGTTCAATGTATTATGGCTTCGATACTTTTCATATTTCACAAATCACCGCATAAAAAACGTCAATAAATACGCAACAAGATTTCAACTGAACTCTAAATCGATCCCATTTATCTAAACTTTTCACCTACGTCCACACGCCGCCAAGACGCCTGGCACCCCTAATCATCTTTCATGCAATGATCTCTTCTCGCATTGCTTATTGCGTTCCTTAAGTAAACCAAATCATCCGGTTAAACTCAGAAATTCGGGGTAATAATCGCTCAGATTGTCAGCACGCTTTCCCATTTTGGTATTTTTGAACATGATAAATCGACACCTTATATTCCCAACTGCGAGCCAAGAGCCAACAATTATTGACTTGAACTATTTTATGTACATATTTGCGAATAAAAAGTTTAGTATGCCCCTGGAGGTCCCAATTTCCAATTTATGTCGGAAATGATGAGTAAATACGTGGTGTGGACATACGAGTGAGTTTGCGATTCAGGTGGGTAGCAGAATATGACACACAAAGATTGGGGAAGAAAGTTTGCTCAACTGCAATCCAATTTGTGGCAAGTTAGCAGCCATAAATCTTAATTTATTGCATGCATGCTTCAATAACTTTTGGTTTATGCTCTAAACGAAAAGATGGCCAAAATCAGCCAATATTCGTCTCAATCTTATTCTCCCCTTGGCTAAAAAGTTAGTCGTTCGTTTGAGTGCAACTAAAAAAATGTCCACATGCCTTGTTCACGTGTTCGGAAAGCTAGTTTAATATAAAAAAAAATTGTACCCTCAATCCTGACCTATCACGCGTTGGCCAAATGTTTGGAGGAATTGGCGAAAAGTGGATTTGCTAAATTGGAATGAGGATGCTTTGTTGAATTTTTTTAGATGGACTGAAAACACTGGCGCCATAGGTCATGAACGTATGTATGATGCTTAACATTTACTGGTAAGATAGATAGATAAGCATGCAATTTTTTTGCGTATTTTTTTTTAAATAAAGAGTTTTTTTTACCTGTGTTGGACTTGTACTCTCCGATATATCTCTTGGTCAGGAATCGTACAGTAAATGCTGAAAATAGTCAACAAAATTGCAATTAGTTTTGTTATGCATTTTTCTTGCATAAGGATATTTGTTATTTTAGATAACATAAAACTATCGTTTATTGATATGATAAAGGTTAAATATTGCAACACTGCAAACAGTCTGTTGCTCTATATGTATGCATAACCTTTGAAATTCTAGGAATGATTTTATTTAGTTTGGAAATAATTCAGCGAATTTTTTTAATTTCCTCAAATATTTGCAGTATGATTTTGAACTAATCCTAAGTATGTGAAGCCATTTTCTACAATTGTTTGATGAAAAAGGGTGTGACATCCTAATTGCAAACTAATTTTTATTCCTAATTAACCCTCGATAGACTTTTTCCTCTGAATGAGATGGAAAATCCTTGCTAGTGCATCTCAAGTGACCAGAAACCAATAATTGAATTGAGAAAGTTGCATGCAATGAACAGAATGACGCGCGTCTGGTTTCTGCATCATGCAATTTCCGGCTCAAACCAGATTTTTTCTCATTTACATGATACCACACAAAAGCTTTTGTGGCGAAATAAGTGTAACTTCCATACAATTAATGGAGCAAATGCTCGAAATATATTTCCAGAAATGTAAGAGATTGAATCCAATAGTAAAATTTTTGGATTGCTAAGATTTACCAACAAAGTTGACAGATTATAATCATCGCGTCAACGAAATTGTTAATATGTTTAATTTTACAAAAAAAATAACTCAAGCTAATTTTCTAACTATACAAACACCAAAAATATTTTAAGCATACCTGATTTGCCGACTTCATGTTGTCCAAAAACGGCCACTCGGACCTTCCCAATTGCTGGTCCAGTTACGATGGGATGATGACTTTTGGCTCCTTTGTCTTCGCAGTGCTTGTACATCGTGATTTTCATAAAGTGCCAAAATTTCGCTGATGGATTAAAAAGGTGTTGTCACAAAGTGAGACTTGTAAGTGAAGAAATGGAAATTGGAAACCCTTCAAGTTTTAAAGTATCGTTGAGGCAAGTTGAAACTGGAAATGTTTCAGAGAGGAAAATGAGACTGTGTGTTTCGCAGGATGGTTGGATTCGTACTGAGATCAGAGATGAACTCGCAGGGAGTTATGTATCTGCTGTTGACGGCTTAAAACCCGGGTATTGCAAGTTAAAGGTTATTCTACGAGGAGAGAAACTCGACTTGTTTTCGTAAGCAGAGTTAGATCCTAACTGAGAATCAGTTCGAGAGGACGGGATTCTTATGTATATTCGCAAAACGGGAAACATGCGAAACTCGGAGAGTTTGTATGTATGCGATTCCGTTGTGGACAGAGTGCTCAAGTCAAGATCTGTAGGTGAGTGGTAATAAGGTTGGATTGATATGGGTACGGCTAATAAATACGCATGACAAAAGTGACACTTTTGCATTAAAGATTCGCAATACATAGGTAATTATTTTTTGCAATTTTTTTTGCAAAATTTTAATTAACAGACAAAAGCATTTTATAAAATGTGTTTGGGCGATACTATTTGATGACATTTTTACTTGATTTTATTCATAATTACGAGCTTTAGACCGCTTTTAGCACACCATCACCAGGCGCAAATTAGTTTTAACAAAAGGAACGAAGTATCACAACATTCTTTGAATTTTGGAAATTTCAATTTCAATGTTTTTTTTTATATTTCATAACTTTCACCCAGAATGACCAGAGTTTACGAAAAATAGTAAATCATAAAAGGTCATCATGATTGTTGTGCTGATCAAGAATAAAACTCGCCTCGTACGTTTTTCCTAATCTCAACAATGATCAACAACTCGAGGCAGGTGACTTGGTTCCCATTTCAATTAATTAATTAAGCCACAATTCTTCTGACATTTAGAGAGCTTATCGTTCCCTTTCTTTCATGTACGTTCGCTGATACTCTTACTTAATTACCCGTCTTTATTATCACGACTCTATCAGGTGCGTCACGTACCTATGACGGTCGTCGTATAAATATGTATTTATCGTATTGTTTTCAATTGTGCGAAATAATATCAAACAACATTCGCAAAGAATAAAATAAATAATTCCTTCCCAAATTAATATCAAAAGTTCCCATATTAATTTTCATTTCTTTCCACTTTGATCTTATTTTATACACAAAATTATTGAAACATGTCTCTCCCTGTGAAACTTCCGAATTCTCTGAAACTCTAATTTCCTAAGAGGTACGTACACACATTCAAAACTTTAAATAGTTGACATTTGCCGGATTAGGAGGAAATGGAGATGGAACAAGAAAATAATAGGGACATAAGTACGAGTGGGTGGCTTTAAGCCGAAATCGACCAACACTCCGACCAGACCAGATCACCACCACCATCACCACCAAACCAGTATCTGACATTATCAAGAGCAGAGAAAGGACTATTTTAGATCTTTTGTGTCCCAGGATACGATTACCTTACTTTCCTCTACAGCCTGTGATTTGATTTAATTCAAAATTCTACCATTCTACCCAAGGAATTAAAACCAAATCGGATCAAATATGGTGAGAGAGCATTAGGCCAAAAGTTTTGGCAAGAGCAAATTTTGTCCATAGAAATTTCATAATTCCACTATCATCATCATCATAATTATTGTTATACATTTAGCGTACGTAGGTGTGGATTAGGACATAAATTTCTGCCTGAAATCATCACCTTATCCACTACGCCATGATTTAACTAACTAACAAAACAGTGCGAAAATGCAACACCAGCAGCAAAAACGTGTGACCTCATTTATCCCATACTTATGATTAGCACCAGTTGAGTGAAATTGCAATCAGGTCCGCGTCCACGTCCACGTTAGCTTTCACTTTGCGCAAAAAAATTCACGGAACGACTCTTGCCGTTGACTTCTCGTTCGTTCATAAATGAGTTTTTTGCCATCCATTCCACCCATCGACATGAGTACATAGGCAGTCGCCGCGGAAGCCGTGGGGACATTAACATTGCAGGATAGGGGAGGGAGTGGTTTATATAACATGGGGGGATGATGGGGACATATAATAACCGTGGGGACATGGACCGCACCCTTCCGCGGCCACTGATCATAGGGCGATGGGTCTCTCACTTAATTGCATTTGTCACCTAGTTTACTTTCCCAACTCATCATTTACACTGCATGCAAGTAATAGTGCGTACTTAGTTTTTCGGATATGGCGATGCTTTTCATAATAATCTTCATTTATCTCGCAATATCAATTCCAAGTTATGATAAGTGACCCATTTCCAGTTCATTTCGTGCTCGTTTTGGACATTTGTAAACAAAAAAGTCTCCATTTTCTCCATCTGTTCCACCAAAATGGGAACCTATTCCAATATTTTTGTGTCGGAAATAAATGTGACAATATGTACGAGTCAAGAGATTTATGCGTGTCATTCTTATTTTTTTTGCAAATAACCTCCGAGTGTATAAATACAGTTATTGTGATGATCGGTTATCGAAAGAGGATGGGTTCATCTGTTGGTTTTTTTTACTTCAACTTCCCGTTTTCTTAGCAAATATCTCTTTTAGTGAGGTGATGATGTGATGGAATGACTATTCTTGGGTGGGAGTGTCATCTCATTTGTGGCGAAAAGTCGCAATTTAAAACCAGATTTCTGTATGCTGTTTACCTTCCGATGATGCTGTTTGCATTTATTATGTATATTTGCTTGCATCATGATCAATAAATAAGTGAAAAAAATGCAAAGCGACTGACGTTGGTGCAACTGGATATTTTGCAAAAATTTGCAAAAAATGACAATTTCTCCAATAATAACCTGAGAATAGATTACCCTCGATTTTAAATTGCTACCAAACGGGGACGATATCTCATCTGTTACGGTTACGACGTGCTTAACTGAATAAATGTGAGAGTATTATCCATCTTTTAGTACCCACGCTGTTCACACTTTCCCAGTGCACGTGAGTGCAAAATTTCCAAATTAATTAGCCCCCACACAGCTAATTATTTAGGGAGATTAATGTCCCGATTGTTCCAGAAACTTGGGCATACGCAAGAATTTCACGAAATTTGAGTCTTGATCATCCAATAATTTATCCAAGACCTTGAAATTTTTCGGGTCCATAAACTTTGATCACACATAACTTGTTAACAAGCATATTTCGAAACTTTCACTTCTTGTGATAACCATCATTACATTTTTTTCTTACCAATCATAACTCTCAAAGTCGAAATTTCATCATTTCTTTCTATGAAGCAACGCGTTCTTTTATGGTCGGACATGAACCCCGCATATTTTTAGACATGGTCATTATCCACAACTTTCTAAGTACTTTGTTGCCCTAATATTTCGCAAATATCGCGAATTCATCTTTTATGCAGGAATAAATATTACTTCATTATCATTTCGATACTTGAACTTTACGAAACGTGTAACCTTGATAATCCAAGAGTTCATCCGCCTCAGAAATCCGACCCTTTTCGTCCGTACATATTCCCAGAAGTTTATCGTCATTCAATTCTCATCTATCCACCAGTTTAAACATGCTTCAAGTATTTCCCTACTTAAATGAGCAAACAAGTTTAGTTTGGTTTGGTTTGGTGAAAGTTGGCAAATATTTCCCTTTCCGTTGGTTTGCTTTGGTTTAACAACACTTCAACTCCAATTGTTCATTTTATTCTTGTTGGCTGGCTGTACGTAGGTATTTATTGATGAAATCAGTGGCCGCGGGGACAGAGGGACAATGTCCCCACGGTTGTTCGATGTCCGCATCATCCGCCCATGTTATATAAACCCCTGTCTCCCCTATCCTACCATGTTAATGTCCCCAGATGTCCCCACGACTACCGCGGCCACTGGATCGTGGAATGACATGCATGGCTGGGTCATGGCCGTCAGCCGTCGTCTTATGTATTACTGGAAACTGGTAACATCGCAGTATAAGTGGAAACTTGACGAAGACGAAGTAATCAACACGTCCATAATCAATGGAGGTATTCATGTTTGGATTTTATCTATGTCGCAAAATAAATAGTTTGTTCATCACAAAAACATCACACAAAAGTTTGCGAAATCTCGTGCGATGTGATGTGAATGAATACCCCCAGAGAATTAATTGACGTAGATAAAAATCAAACTGCGTAATAGATGGGTAGGTAGCTAAGAAAAGTAGGTGACATGACAGGTGTGTGTGTGTGTCTCATTAATTAACAAAGTTGTTGTATCAAAGAAAACATGGAATAATTAAAATTGTGTCGCGATCTCGATGGAATCATTAATGGCGATGTAGGTAAAAGGATATGACGACAAGAAAAAAATGTTTGCTTTTAGGATGCCTAGGTTCAGACAAATTTTAATATTTTTTATTTTTATTCCAAAATTTTATTGGAAAAATTCCATAATTTTTAACATTTTTTTATACAAGGAAAAAATCGTGATTCAGATTTCACTCTTTTTCAAAAATGCTTCATTTTCTATAATTGGTTTACACAAATTTTAATATTTTGTACCTTTATTTCAAAATTTTATTGGAAAATTACCTGCATAACTTTATTATTACATAAGAACAAAAAGCGTGCTCCAGATTTCGGACAAAACTTTCACTCTTTTCTATCCAGGCTAACGCGCAGTATGAAAATTAAGATAATAAGGCATGTCAATTCCAGCAGCAGGTGACAAAAAAGTGTCAACTTTTGTACTGCTTCCTCCCAAATATGTACCTTCATATAGCATTTATCATCTTCTTTTTCTGCGTAGTTTCTGTCACATCGTGTCAAATTAACTCCCTTCTCTCTCACCTCAGCTCACTCATTATGTTGTCCATTTCATTAGAATTCGTCACCATTTCCCAATCAACAGGTGCTCATTATTCCAACTAATTCCAATTTACACACTCAAACTACTCGTGATTTGTGTCATTATCTGTAACTAAATATTATGATTTTATTTCTTGTAATCTCGCCCCATCCATCCTCAGTGGCCGCGGAAGGTTGAGGGGACAGAGGGGCAATGTCTCAATTTCCCCATCATCTCCCCATGTTACATAAACCCCGCCCTCCCCTATCCTACAATGTTAACGTCCCCACAGCTTCCGCGGCCACTGGCCATCCTGTCATGCGGTGAAAGTTGATGTTGATGGTTCGCCGTATGCCAGAAAACAAATGAGTTATTATGAAAATAATATCCCTTCGTGTCAGGATGAAAGATGGATAAATGAAGTTCTGACTGGCAGA